TCATCATCCCTGGCTTCTAGCTCTACAATAGAGCTTTAGTAAGGAAATCAGCTTGGTATTGACACAAAACAGACAGGTAGACAAATGGAATTGAATTGAAGACCCTGATATTAATCCACACACCTAGGAACACCTGATTTTTGACAAAGAAGCTTGAATCCTACAATGGAAAAAAGAAAGCATCTCCAGAAAATGGTGCTCCATAACTAGATGCTGACATGTAGAAGATTGCAGATAGACCCATATCCATATGGTCTATCTTAATTCCAAATGGATCAAAGACATCAACATGAATACTGAAACAGTGAACCTCTTAGAAGAGAATGTTGGAAATACCCTTGAATGCATTGGCACAGGAGAACCCTTCCTGAACCTAACACCAGGAGCATAGACACCGAGATCCACAATTAATAAATGAGATCTACTGAAACCAAGAAGCATCTGTAAGGCAAAGGACACAGTCAACAAAACAAAACAAAACAGCAGCCCATAGAATGGAAAAAGATCTTCACCAACCCCATATCTGACAGAGGACTGATCTCGAAAATAAACACAGAACTCCATAAGCTTGTCAACAAACACCAAATAATTCAATTAAAGGAGGAAATGGAATAGCATAAATGTTGAGTTGGGGGAAGAATAGAGGAGAGCAGGATGAGAGATACCATATCAGAGGGAGCCATTATAGGTCCTAGGAGAGATCTGGCACTAGGGAGATCTCCAGAGATCTACAAGGATGACATGAACTGACAATCTAGGCAATGGTGGAGAGGATAGTCTAAATGCCCTTCCCCTATGATGAGACTGATGACTACTTTTTATGCCATCCTAGAGCCCTCATCCAGTGGCTGATAGAAGCAGAGGCAGACACCCACAGATATACACTGAACTGAACTCTGGAACATGGTCGAATTTTTATAATTCTAAATCACATTGAGAATCCCCATCTGTGTTCTGAACTTGTGTAGGTCTTATGAATGCAATTAAGCTTTTCTCAGTCTCTGTGCTCAACTGGGCTGTTATACTCAACAAATAGTATTACTATTGAAATGTCTTCTGACTCTGTCTCTCATAATCTTACTGACACTGAGGCTTGTCAGGGTGAGTGAGGTATATCTGCTCCATTCAGAGATGCTTGCTATTCAGTCTTAATCTCTTCATTCATGTTGACCTCTTGTGGGTTTATGTATTAATCATCACTCGTGTAAAAAGAGGCTTTCTCTTATCAAGAGTCAGAGATGCACTGATTCATGAAATTTGAACCCTTTAAAATACTCACTGGTGTTGTGTCTTTCTTATTATCAAACCCTCCTGTTGAGTTCATTAGTTCATTTGTTTATTGTCATGTTTTGGTGGTCAATTATTGTAGTTTCAATGCATTTTAGTTAACCTTTCTTTTAAGTATAACTGAGTGTAGATTGCCCTTTCACTGTTTTTTATGGTCTTCCTTGTAGATAAATGGTTTAATTTCAAGAAATCCAAATTTTCTTTTTACATAAATAAACCATTTTCCTAGTACCTCTAAAATTTTATACAATATATGTTGATCATATTCATTCCTTCCTTAAAATTCTTCCACTTTTCCCTACACACCATTCTGTCCTTTTCATTTTAGCCTAACAAGGCCAATTTGTTCTGCCCATGTACTTTTGAATGTGTAGCTTCCACTGTAGCATAGTCAACTTACCATGGGCCATACCTTTAAAGAAAAAGAACTCTCTTCCTAGCAGCTATCAATTTCCAATAGCTTCCCAACTATGGGTAGAGTTTCATGCCTACCTTTGATGTAACATCTGAGGATACTTCTTATGATATTGGACTCCTTTTAAGAAGTTCTTACTTATGTCTATGTCTTAGAGTATCTCCCTCTGATTTTCTCAATGGGTTCATAATTTCATATTGTATATTAATGTCTTTGATTTTAGTTTGTATAGGGTGATATTTATGTATCTAGTTTCTTTCTTCTGCATAGAGATTCTTAGGTTTTCCATATATTTTTGTCAAAGAGCATGATTTAACACATTGAATAGACTGGCATCTTTGATAAATATCAGGTGATTATGCCTGAAGGATTATCTTTATGTTCTATTGCTTAGATCTCTGATTTTTTCCAGCACCATGATATGTTTGTTATATCTTTGCAGTAAAATTTCTAGTCAGGGATTTTTAACAATATAGTTCTTCTTAGGATTCACTTGACTATTTGTGGTCTTCTATGTTTCTAAATAAATTTTAAGAGTTTTTGAGATTGTTCAAAATATCATTGCAGTTTTGATTGAGATTACATTGTACCTGTAGATCAGACTTAGTAATATATTCACTTGTATGATATTAATCATGCCAATTAATAAGTGCAGAAATTCTGTCTATAATCTAGTGTCTTTTTCAGTTTCTTATTTTTAGTGGTCTAAAATTTTCATTGTAGAGGTAGTCAACCTACTCTTAGGTGTTGTATTTTTTAAGGTATTATGACAGTGGTATATTTTCCTAGTTTCTTCCTCGGTGGGTTCCTATTTGGTAAATAGAAATTGTTCTTCTACACTGCTCAAATATCTACCATATTTACATAGATTTATGCGGAGTCCATGAGGCCTTTTAAGTATGGAGTTACTTCATCTGCTCATATTTTTTATTCTTTCCATTCCCAGTTGTATCCCTTTACATTTTTCTTTTGTTCTATTGCTCTGAGTCTTCAAGTAATATAGTGAGTAAATTTGAAGTATCTGTTTTGCATGCATGGCTGTTTGATATAAAAAAGGACCATGAGTAAAATATGTGCTTTCTTTAAGTTGTTTTTTATGTATTTGAAGCACAATTATGCAAACAATCTGTACAGAAATGCTTATTTGACAACTTGCTTTCAGGCCAAATGATAGGATGTAATAGGATAAACTATTAATAACTTCCATGCAGAATTTGTTCCTGATAATACAGAATTCTCTGTTTTTACAATTACAGGAAACAATCAGAAACAGAAGTAATCCTATATACATTACACATATCAGATCCCATACGGGTCTGCCAGGCCCACTAGCACAAGGCAATGATGAGATTGATTGTTTATTAATTGGAAGTGTTCTAGAAGCCTCAGAATTTCATAAGAAACATCATGTAAATAGCAAAGGCTTGAAAAAGGACTTCTCCATCACTTGGCAACAAGCCAAGGAGATAGTGAAAAACTGTCCTACTTGTTCCTTTTATAATCAAACTCCATTGCCAGCAGGTTGTAATCCTAAGGGCATTCGGAGAAATGAGGTTTGGCAGATGGATGTCTTTCACTTTGCAGAGTTTGGAAATTTGAAATATGTGCATCATACCATAGACACATTCTCAGGGTTCCAATGGGCTACTGCTCTTAACTCTGAAAAAGCTGATTCTGTTATTATACACCTGCTAGAGGTGATGGCAGTTATGGGTATACCTGCACAAATAAAAACTGACAATGCTCCAGCATATGTCTCTACGAAATTGGAACAATTTTTCAAATATTATAACATAAAGCATGTTACTGGTATACCACACAATCCTACAGGACAAGCAGTGGTTGAGCGATCTAATAGAACACTTAAGGAGATGCTCAACAAACAAGCTTGGAAGACTAAACCCCCCAAACATAGGTTGCAGTTCAAAGATGTACTAACCTCTGTATGGAAACCAGGACATGTGT